TGGCAGTTCCTGCCCTCATCAAACAGTCTGCAGTCCAACTAGGCAAAGGTGCAGGGGGAGGGAGAAAGGAGGAGACAAGAGAAGACTGAGGGGAATGAAGGCAATATGATCACCATTTCAAAGAGCCAGGATGAGGGTGGATTAACAACATGCCTGCACCTTGGAACTAGACCAAGCACAGGAGTAACACTTTCCCCAACTAGACTTCCTCAAGGTACTGCCATGGTATTGTGTGTTTGTGCCGTCTCTCAGATCAAAGCCTTGAAGCTTCACTTCTTTAGCTCTTCAGAAACAAAGGAGGAGGAGAAGCGTGAGAAGAAAGAAATCTCCTGTCTCAGTGAGGTTCTTGCAAAATATAATTTTTTGTGAAGGTCTGCATATTGCCCCCCTTCAATGAACATTGATCAGCTTGAGCCCCTCCATTTTCAGGCCATAACCCCACCTCCAAACACAACTGTGGCCATCTGCGCCTTCACTGAGCAGTCCCTTTCGTGCTTAGATGCTTTGCGAGACCACCAAGTAGATTTACAGATTTCTTTCTGGTAACCAGGAAACTGAGGAACAGTTTATATAACTGAGAAAGAGTTAAAATTGTCATACTGTTTTGACAATCACTGTTCAATAGACTCTGACAGTTTAAAAGACTTAATTTAGTGAGCTCCTCATGCAATTAGCCATCAGTGACAGAATACTCAAACAGATTCTTAATGTGCCGCAACAGCAGTTTGCTCACTAGGAGAAACTATTTTAGATATTTTGCCCTCAGTGCACAAACAAATCACTTTTGTTTCAGCAGAAGCCATATGTTAGTGTCCCAGTTATGGGTCCTTCACAGTGATGAGAGAACTGCAGAAGAAAAAGCTTGACTTCTGTACATCCTCCACTGTGCCTGAGCTGGTCGGGTGTTCTTCCAGACTAAAATCTGGCCCACATTCTTCAATTTTCATAGTTCTCAGTTCTCCAACACAGTGCACTGTTTTGGTTGGGTGGTTTTTAGGGGCTTTTTTTGGTCGTTATTGTTTGGTTTTGCAAGGTGTTAATAAAATGCAATTGAGAAGACTTGTCCCCAGTATCAGTCCAGCAGCAGCAGCTAGGTAAAGCCTTACTACAGATTCTTTTTTTCAGTCTTGTTTCTACTTTATTTTATGTTGCTTTTTAAATTCAGAATATATAATTATCCTAAAGTTTAACACAGTCTTCTATATGGGAGTGTAAGGAAGGATTTGGGAGCTTCATGACCAAGCCTTTATAGCCTGCTGAAATGACCAAAGGGCAAAGAAAAAGAGTCTCACAGCTCAAGGAGAGCAAAATCTATTCTTTTTTGAAGGATGACATTTCCTTTCAGCCTTGCATGCCATGTCCTGCAGCATTTTGACACTGCTAGAATGAGAAAGTCAAGCTGACTAAAAGCAAAATGTTAAACTTATTATTCTGTTGTTAAATGTGTTGCTCTGTGCCTACTCTGCTCTGAATCTCAGCAAGACCTCAAAAGTAGACTTAACAGCATGTAAAAAATAGCTTTTTAAATAAACCCTTTCAGTCTGGCTATCTGAATATGAGACCAAAAGAACAGTATATTACCCTTTTAAATGGAATTTTAATGTCACCATTCCCTTTTTAAAGGCTACTGTAGTTATGCTGCAGACATGGTGCTGTTCAGAGGGCCATCTTGGGAGTCCCCAGGGAATGTGTTTCTTGACCATGATTTTCCTGTAAATCCTATAGCATTATGTCTGAGTTTGAACTTACTCTGTACCAGTTTTCTACTGCTTGAAAAGTTCAGGGCAATTCCAGTTTTCAGATGTCCGTTCAGTTTCCTGATTACTCGCAGAAACTTGGAGATAAATAGGATTTTGAGCTATGCTTCCTGGGGCTCAAAGGAAAGTAACCAAACCCCTGAAAGTTCAAAGTATCATCTCAGATTTTGCTTTTAGACTATTTGAAGCTCTGTGTGAAGGCAGAGGGACAGAGGAAGCCCCGTGCCTCCCATTTTTGTAGTGCTCTTTGCCACCTCCAACTGGCTTTCTCAGAGGTGGCAGGATCTCAGACAGGAATATGCACAAAATCGATCAGAGTCACAGTCACGTCCATAACCATTGGCATACCTTTGAAGAACTGGTCCAGGGTCTTAAATCTACATTTAATTCATTGCTTCAGGTTGACAAAATTCATGCCAATGGTATTTCAATTCCCCTGAAACTAAGCATAACACAACTGTAAAAGTAAAACTGCTTTTGTGCTTCTACAAAGCCAGTTTTTACAAAGCTGTCACTGTAAGCCCTCCTCCTGTCCCTCTCCCAACCCACTGTCTCTGCAGGATGGCCAAGCCCATTCCCATGTGTGTTGAGTGCGTGTGTTTCCACCTCTCTTGTGAGTTATCAACCCACTGGGGCCTTGCACTGCCAGGATAGGACAGGAGAGGGTCTCAAAAAGGCAGAGCCCTTTCAGATTTTGAATGGCCTACTTCCATACTTTGTCAGGTGGACAAACATCATCAGTTTACAGAAAACATCATCAACAAGAACAGTAATGTTTTTATATTCAGTTTTAGATGTAACTGCTACTGATGAACAATTAGGCAAAAGTTTAATTCTTAGAGACAAGACCTAAACATCAAAGCCATTCCTAATAATATCTTGAAGTCTTTATGATAATATTTATTTTAAAATTCAAAACAGAGTTGGAAGAGGAACCAGTTGGGCATTTCACTGATCATATAGTCAAACATTAGAAACCTCACATATTTAATGTCAGCAATGTGTTTTAAATCTGCAGGTGTACAATGATCTTCATGGGACTATTTTATTGATATGAAGTTGAAGGACATTGTGATAATTGCATATGAATAATAATAATAATATGAATCAGTTTGGAAAATTAAAACATAAGCCTCCTAACAAGGCAGTAAAGTGTACTAGTTCATCTGCAGAAATCAACACTGTGTGTACATTGTGGAGACTGATGGCTATTATGAAATACACAAGCAACATATAGGTTAGTAAGAACAACAGGGAAAGAAAATAAAAATAAACCTGATCAGTCCTACAAATGGTTAATACAATCCTTTCCTTATTGGTCATGGAGTTCTGGAAACACTTTGTAATCTAGATTTTGGAAGCTCAATTAAAACTAAGATAGTAGAGAGAAATTATCCATGTTAAGTCATAATTAGAGCATGTGTTTTTAGCAGTGGGGAAATAAGTGGTGCTACTCTCTAAAAAAACCTGAAGCAATATAGAAATAGTGTCTGTATTGGGTATTGGTATCAATAGTGTCTGAAGCAGGTATTGGGATGATACCTACTTCACCTGCTGCTTCCACAGGGCATGGGGTGCAGCAGACACCTTTGACTCTAACTCCAGTAATGCTGGAGTTGCACCAACAAATTGCTGGTTATTACCAGACAGTAATTTGGGAAAAAAAAGCAGTACACTGCTCTGGCCTATGTCTGTTAGATTTTGCGTCTGGGATGAACTAATAGTAGTTTAATTTATGTATACTTAAGAATTCTAGATGAGCAAAAATTAAGCATCTCGAAGAAAGAGCATATTAAAATATAAATTTAACATACTATGGGATCTTAGTCTGTGTGCATCCCATCCCAGAAAAGGACATTGTGGCATATGTAAGACCGTGCACATTTAAAATATACACACAGGCTGATGCAGTAATGCTTATCTGCAGAACCAGGGTTACATATGTTATACAGGGGGTTTATACTGGAGAGGAAGAAGCACAGTGTGTAGAATTCACTTCTCTGGGATTCCTTTGCTACCTTAAACAAATTATTTAACCTTGATCCAGGTTACCCTCATACTCTCTTTTGCATTTGAAAACATTCTAGAATAGCTGGCTACTAGGAAAGCTTGGATTTTCTCCTCTTCCAATAATATATCTGTTTTTACCTTTTTTTTAGCCCTGTATAGTGCAGGTCACTATTGGATTTTTACTGGTTAAGCACTGAACACTGCTTACCTTGCATTGGTGTCACTCTAGAAGGGAATTTGTGTTTGATACAGAGAAGGATGTCTGTGTGCTGTTCCTGTGATTTTGCAAGAACTGTAGTTTTAAGCAGTTGTTTTAAAGCTGGACAGTTCTGCAGTTCTAGAAAGGGTTTGATAGGAAGGATTTATTCAACTTGAGGAAGGTAAGGTGGTTAAAGCTTCATTTCACATTCTTACCATCACTTCATTTTATATATAAATAGTCTATTTATATATATTTGCATGGAAAACATTTTACATTGCTAGATACTTCCACTTAAAGCCTCTTTGTGTTTTTTTGTGTTACATTATTCCAGCTGTAGATTTCAAACAATGTTTCCACTTACCTGAAATGTCTTTGTTAATGTTGTGATGGTGGGAAGAAAAAAGATTTCTGCTTTCTTTCTAAACTATTCAGCTACCTTATTCTTGTGGTAGTTTTCTCCTTTCTTCAACACACAATATTTGAAAAAGATTCTTTACAAAGAGAGAAGAGGATTGAGGATTGTGCGATATTTTAGAAATCTCTGTTAATTTCATGAGGGGAAAATAACTAAACCACAAAGAAATCTTCAAAAATGTTGTTCTTTGTTTTCTCTGGTATACCCATTTTTTTGTGGTTAAGGTACATGTGATTTTAAAAAGATGATATTCTTTCTCTTAAGGTCAGGAGAAAATTTACCTACTGAAAATGGTAAGTATTATGATATGAAGCCACTAAAACATTGCAAATGCATCTGTGTAAAATTTCAGAAACATTCATAATCAGCTTTAGTTAAGCCAAAGTTAAATTAAATTCAGTGGAAGCCAAGTTAGGCAAAAGAACGTGACTTATACAAACTCACCTATTATACCTTGGAGGCTTATTCAAAGCTGGCAGAATTCAGCAGAGGAGCTTTCTGAGCCCACCAGTAAGAGTTCAGGTCCTTGCTTCTAAAAGCCACCATTTGTGCCAAGGGTATGGTCAAATTCTGCCTTCGATGAGAAGTGTTTAATGCCATTTCTGTTTTCCACCAGTGTCTTTCTTTCAATGCGATAATGGAGGAGCTTGGAATTTCACTCAAGCATCAGAAGAAGTTAAAGAAAAGGTCACGAACGAAGGGGAAATCTTCATTCACAAGTATCCTTACTTGTCACCAGAGGCGGACACTGAGGAAAGAAACCATAGCATGAGGAAGAGACACCCCTTTGAGGAAATATCAGGAACAAAAAACAAACAAACAAACAAAAACAAACAAAAAAAAAGCAAAAACATTGCTGCCTACAAGTTGATTGTGGTGGGATTTCTGAAATATAGACATTTACCTTGTCCTTCAGAAATTCTTTGTGGTTTCTTTTTTTAATCTAGAGGTACAACAGTTTAAATGCTCATATAGACTGATGTACTACTAATCATCTGGGAAGTGTCTCATTGTTTCTTTTGAGATGGATTTGTATGCTCATCTGTTTTGCATCTCTCTTCCCCTCCCCATGCATTGCTGTACGTGCTTTCTAAATAAATAAACAAGAGACAGGGTTCTTTTTTCCAATAATCTGGGAGTGAAACTTTTTTTTTTCCTTTTGAAGAAAATTTAGAAACCAGGACTCAGACAACCAAAGCAAAAATTCATACAATTAACTCATAAAGACAATGACAATTAACTCATAAAGAGTACAAAAATGTCTTAAATGCAAAGGTGTCCAACAATGAGTTATTTTTACTTCCTCTGATATTGTAAGGAACACTCTTCAGGTTCTTTTCTGTGAGAAACTTGTTTTTCCTTATCTTTTCTCTTTCTCATTTATTTTAAAACATGATTATTAGGTAATGCCATGGCTCCAGGTGCTAGATGTTGAAAAAGAAAAACCAAAATCACAAAAGTACTCATCAGTGAACAGGGGAAGGCAACACTGACATCATCACACTGCCGTATCCTCCAGCTCCCGATAGCAATAAAACAATTCTTGACTTCAAAATGAAAATCTCTTAGAAATTAGAGCCAAGAATATTCCATTTATAACAAATCTTGACCACAAAGATAACAACTTCTGACAGGAATACAGCCTATGCTCTGGAATGGAAACCTTTTCTGGCAACTGCTGGGGGCACCAGCAAAGCATTTTAACAGTGAAGGAGGAATTAAGTCTTTTTTTGTGAAGAAACCTCTGTCTGAGGAGCGGTGATGCATTATAGTGGCAGATCCTCCCATCCCTCCCCATAAAAACTGTTCCTTTATATTGCAGTGGGGTGAAGCACATTTATGTTTATTGCTATGTTGTCTCTGTGATTAATTCTGTTGTTCCTGGGGCTTTTACTGGTGCCAGCTGGTTAGCTCTGAGGATGCCTACAAAAGGAAATGGGTGCAATGTAGGCACATCCACACTTCAAGGGATGAGGGTGGGTGTAGGAGATGGGTGCTCCTTGCACCAAGAATCTGGGAGCTGTACCCCTGCCTTCATACATGCTGGGTTATATATATAGACCTGGTCTGTCCAGGGCAATCCCACACTATGACCACCTCTAATCCTAAGGCAAGCCTAGAAAAAGGGTACCAGAGGACTGAAGCCACCGACTGCTTTTCTGTGCCATACATGGAGCCTGGTGAGCCTGAGTCGTACCAACAGCATTTGCTTCAGCTTGTCATGATGTTCATAACACAAGTGCTTCAGTGAAGTGTGAGTTTTATTGTCCTTCTTATAGGGAACTTACTGCTTACCATTGATTACCTTTGCCTTGTACCCATGGCCTCTTCCTCTGCAAATAAGAAAGTAATGTGAAAGCCTTTGAGTGGAGAAATCTGTCCTCTACCTTCACTTCACACCACTGCCCCCTGCAGCCCTCTCTGAGCTTTTATGCTGTGGCGCATGGCAAGGTCAATCTGCAATCAACAGTATTGCTTACAAAACCCCTGCTTCATACATTTTGATATCATTCGAAACTGGAAGACACCTTTGTTCATTTAGCCTTTCCACAGGAGTCAAGCTTTCTAAACCTCTTGTCATTACCACCACTTTCCCCAAGGCTCTCTGTAATTATTCTATATCCTTCTCTGATTTTCCACCCATGTTGAGTACTGCTGCTCACATACCTTGTGAAGAGATCTCCTTGCATGAATTGGGTAAGGTGGGTGACCCCTCCATGATACAGGCAATGATAATTTCAGACTGAGTTTAAGGCTGTGGCCATACGGAATTGCACATTTTTGTGGTGTTTTGTTTGGTTTTTTTTTACTGAACCGTTTTTCTAGTTTATCAAGATCAGTTTGTCCCCGGCATGCGAGTTGCCTGAACGCCAGCTTGGTGGTACCTGCAAATTTATCAAACATGCTCCCTAAACACCATTCATAAAGGAGACCCAGAGAATGGACAGACTCCTGCAGGTCCTCCCAATTTTGACAGCAAAAATCTGAGAGTTAATAGGATGGTTAATAGCACTTTTGGCTACTGTACAGTATATGCCATCTGGCCTGTTGCCCTGCTTGTTTTTGAAAATGTCATGCAGGACAGGATCAAAGGCTTATTAAGGACCCCGTTCCTCACCCACAGGGCCCATAAAGCTGTTAAAGAAGGAAATTCATCAGATTAACAAGACCCGGTTTTGACAGATTCATATTAACTCTTACTCATTTCCTACCAATTACTTACAAAACAGTTATTTCATGCAAGTGTTTGCCAGGCAACTGAAGTTAAGCTGGCCAGCCCAAAACTGCCTGGATTCTTATTTTCCTTTCTTTGAAGATAGGAATCATTATTATGTTTTCCAGGGTTTCTTCTGGACTGTGTCTTTCCTCCAAGAGTTTATCTCAGGAGGTTTGAAGCAGTCAGCCTCTGGGAAAAGAAGATGAAAGGTGTCTTTTAAAGTGACCTCAGTAGGAAGCTCTGAAACCAGTGCTTGCTTTGGGGAAGTTTAGTCTGCTACATACTGCAGTGACAGGTCGGGCTGCTAAGCAGTAATCAAGAAAACCAGCTCCTGGCCATGAGAGCTCATGGATGATCTTACAAAAAGGTGTTTTCTTACTTTCAAAGGTAGTTTCATTTATTTATGTCATCACCAGGTTACAAACAGACCAGCACCGTTCTAATACCATGATTGAAAAGTGGGTTGTTATTTTTCAGTCTACATAACTCTGTTGCTCTGCCGTCCACAGCCTTCAGCTAAGATATTTTTAAATGACTAAGTTCAAAGTGATAAAAGATTTATGATCAAGACTTGTTTTTTTTAAAGGAAAACTCTTCTGTGGCTAGGACTTTGAGGTTAAAGAATTCCCAGTTCTTTTTTTTTTTTTTTTTTTTTTATCTACTAGTGTTTTCCTGAAACTAAGAGACAGTACTTTGTTTGGTTACTTTTTACATTTTAACTTTCCAATCAGAAATAGTAGTCTACCACTTATAAAAAGGTACTGGGAAAAAAATGAAGCTTTCTTTGCTGTCTGGAAAGAAATATGTGACAGTGGGAAAATAATAAATAAAGCATATTTGGTTCTTCTTTGATTTCCTTTTTTCATTTTTAATACTTGAAAGAATCGCAGCATATCATAAAGTTTCTGTGTTAAACTCAGATGGCAGCTTAACAAGCTATACTTGCTGCAGAGGAGCTAACTAACCCGCTATGATTTCATGAAGCACCACATCATGATGTGTGGCTTTGCCCCTCCCTGCCAGCTATAAGAATGCATCTTGGTAACTGGTTATAAAATCCCCCCAATATCCCTCCCCAGTGTAACTTTTCCCCAAAGACTGTGTGGATTTGAGGTGTGAACTACCCCAGGAAACATGTGCTCCCTAAAACCTCCAAGCAGCCACAGACCTCTAGCCTAACCTATTGCTCTGCCTTCTTCCCTGACATTTTTAGTGACCCAGAGACAGGTTATCCCATCAGTCTGACCTGTCCACCCAGGGAAGATTTTCTTTGTCAGCCACTACATATATATATGTATGCACATACGTACGTACGTATGTATGTATGTATGTATAAAATAGCAGTACAGCACCATTTTTATAGCCTGTGACTCTCATGCTAATTGGCCTCCCTTTAAGAAATTATGGAAAGAATTAAAATGAGACTATGAGGGAGTTCAAAGGACACTTGCTCCCAGTACTTCCTCTTGCCTCAGGCCAGCAGTGACCTGCCGCCCCACAGGGGCCATTTCCCAGGCTCCCAGGATGTCCCCATACCCCCCTTGGCATTGGCCTTGAGCACAGCCCAGAGCACCTACAGGCCTGTGGGGAGCTGAAGACCACTGTGTCTTCCACCTTGATTCAACAGAATATTTTATATTTCAGCTATCTAAAATTGTAGCTAAGGAAAACGCTTAGGAATGCCTTTAAATCCCACTGGTATTTAAGTGCTGTCCTGATTCACGGCTGTAACCTTTTCTACCCTCCTCCAAATCTGTTTAGGTCACCAGCAAAGCTGTTAAGACAGGTCCCAGCTCCACACATCCGTGCACAGAGTCCGCTGTGTCTGCTGCATTCACAGCTGTCCTACTCCTCATATTTTCTGTATGTGGACATGATTAAGGCAAAACCCAATCCTTTTCTAAAGCACCTTCCCTCTTGCAAACCAAGCTGTGTCACTAGAAACATTTCCTTTAGCTTCAGATGCTGCTACTTGTAAATTCACTCCATGACTGAGAAAGCTACTCTGTCTTGAGGGAGGAGGGACAAGCACAGGGCAATCTTACATATCGACATAGTAGCAGATAAGATTACTGTGACCTTTTCACCATATCCCAACAAATATTATTTTCCTGCCTTTTTTCCTGCATGGCAGCATGAAGTAGCAGAGAAGTCTGATTAGAGATTACCCCCTAGGAAAGCCAATGTCCTTATTAGATCTCTACCTTGGCACGAGCAGGCCGGCATCCTCATTGCTTATAAAAGAGAAATACAATATTGATAGATGCTGTTGAACGGCTTTAATGTGTTTCATTCCAGAAATGGCTTTGTTTTAGTGCCATCTTTCCTGTACAGCTATTCACCACCGGTCTGTGGGCTTAGTAAGGATTATTTAACGTCCTGTAACTTTCTTGACAAAGTGGGGAAGACAGGCTCAGTGGAAAAGAAGGAATATTGGAGATACATAAGTGACTGTTTAAGCTGTGTGCTCAGGGCCCAGCCCACAAGCATGATTGGCAAGCTACTGCAGAACAAACGAGGATCAGCTTACTACCTTTTGGAGCCTTTGCATCTCGTGGGTCTGCTGCAGACCCGTAATCCTGTGGGACATTTATTGACTGATGAGCTTGTCCCTTAATTACTCTCTGTCAAGCTTGCAGGAGTCAGGATTTCTCAGTGATCAGAACTGCCACTATTTAGAGATACATCACTTATAGTTGTCAAATGACTGCAATTCTATTTTAGTCCCATCGACTGATAAAAGATGCATGTGTTTTTGCCTGCTGATGAATTCTGATTTGAGCCACACTCCTGTTCGCCTCTTGTCACTTCCCCCAAACACAAACTCCATTATCATTAGTGCAAATGTTATACAGCTATCACTGTTAACACATTATGCTCTCCCTTGCATTTCTAGATTTTGATAGCGGTTTCA